ATGGTGCTGTGGAGGAAAGATGCTGGATTTACATGCTTGAAAGGTAACTCGAAGAAAAAGTAGTCATTTTACAAAGAATCATATGGAGGAAGCGACTTTTTCTTCGACCAGTCAACGGTTTTAGCCATTCTTTTATAGTTCTTACACTGTTTTCAATTATTCTGCTTTCTAGGTGTCAAAACAAGTTGTGTGACATATCATTGGATCGATATTGTACTGTCTTTGAAAAATGTTGCTGTTTGGAGTAATCATGCGGTGATAAACTTTATAGGAAACCATTTTGAAACATATTTTTGTCAAGTGTTTATTTTTTAAAAAATCCTCAAAAATAGGAATTTTGGTGTTTTAGTAGCGAATGCGTGGTAGCTTCAAGGAAAATGTATCCTGCCCCCTTCCCCCCCCCAAAAAAACACAAAAACAAAACAACAAAACAACAACAAAAAAAACAACAAAAACAGGAACATGGAACATTTGAGAACATCAAAAAATTAAATTGATTTTTATGGGAAAAAACTATTAAGTATAATACATGTAAAACAATTGGACAAAAATTTATAATAACAAAATAACATAACATAACATAAAAACGAAAAATATGGAAAAAAAGAAGAAGAAACTGATATCATTTCTGAGTATAAGAAAACAATATTTTGTCGCAAGTAATTAATTGTTGGGTGAGCGAGGGTCCATACAAATGACAATGGGCAATTCCAGAAAATATCCATACCATACCACGGACGGCTTTTAGGATTTCCGAAGGGGAGGGGGGGTTCACGATTATGGAATTCTGAGGGCATGGGGGGTATTTACGATTGGAAATCCGAAGGCATGGGGTAATTCCACAGGTGGGATTTCTGGAGTAGAAAGTGTAGAGTGAGTTCCTTGAAAACGCTATTGTTGTGGACTTTTGTAGTTCGTAAATAAACCACGAACGTATGACCGCGGAAGCAGAAGACAAGCATCGATAGATCAGACACGTGTTTACGCTTATAACTTATAGAAGTGAGCAGTAAAATGTGACTTTCACATTAACCTTGATGAATTTCTTGTCACATGAAAAAGAAAACGGAATATGTATCTTACTGCTTGCAAGTTTCTTGTTACTCCCATCCGATGAACAGTAAAAAAACTCGCACCAGTCCCTGGCTTCCAAGGAACGCCTGTTAGATTAGAACACTTTTCGTGCACACTACATGACGTATAAAAGGACGCAACACGCCTCGACGGTATATTTGACCACCGAAAGATTTTAACAGTCTGAATTTGAGCTATTTTGCTTTGTAAACGTCAAAACAGCACAAGAAGACAAAGAGGAGTAAAATTGCCTTTAGTGGTGTTTATTTTTATTGCCAAATTCGGACCTAAAAAGGAGTTTGCACAGCCTGTCTACTAGCGGTAGGTTAGAGTCTGAAAGCTTTTCGCCTGGCGCCGCTAGATCACAGCCTTGAGGAGGCATAAATTCATGTTCGTCTGTTCATATAGGCGTTGCTAAGTTGAAAATGTACTTCCAAAAAACCGGAAATTCTGAAGGGGAGGGGGGGGTTCACGATTATGGAATTCTGAGGGCATGGGGGGATAACGCATTTTGGAATTTCCGAAGGCACGGGGGGGGGGGGGTAAAACATGGAAGCCGTCCGTGGTTGGGTATGGATATTTTCTGGAATTGCCCAATAACGAGTGAAGGGGGTTTCAAACTTTCCACACACAGCCACCTCTCGTATTATTGTTTGCCATGCGGATTAATAATTTGACGGTTATCTATTTATGGCTTTGCTGCTTTAAGAAGAGCTTTGTGGCTCGTGGCTTTAGACTTGAGTGGACAAGATTTACATTTGCAGTGAATAGTTTCAGCGGGAGTAGTAGTGCAGTGGTGGGTTCTTACTGTTATCAATTAAGCCTCAATTTCTGTCATCTCCTGAAGTCGCAAGTGAAGTTTGCAATCTATTTGTCTGTTAATCTGTTTGTTGCTTTGATTTTTGTGATGTTACTGGATTTTAGTGGACAAGATTTCATTTTGGAAACATTCATACATAGCTATTCTCAGTGACTAGAGTTTCTTGAATTAGATCCTTTTGTTGAATTGAGTTAGAAAACAAAGTTGACTATTCATCCCACGTAATGGGCAATTCCAGAAAATATCCATACCCAACCACGGACGGCTTCCATGTTTTAACCCCCCCTTGCCTTCGGAAATTCCAAACTGCGCTACCCCCCCATGCCCTCAGAATTCCATAGTCGTGAATCCCCCCTCCCCTTCAGAATTTCCGGTTTTTTTTGGAAGTACATTTTCGACTTAGCAACGCCTATAAGAACAAACGAACATGAATTTATGCCTCCTCAAGGCTGTGATCTAGCGGCGCCAGGCGAAAAGCTTTCAGACTCTAACCTACCGCTAGTAGACAGGCTGTGCAAACTCCTTTTTAGGTCCGAATTTGGCAATAAAAATAAACACCACTAAAGGCAATTTTACTCCTCTTTGTCTTCTTGTGCTGTTTTGACGTTTACAAAGCAAAATAGCTCAAATTCAGACTGTTAAAATCTTTCGGTGGTCAAATATACCGTCGAGGCGTGTTGCGTCCTTTTATACGTCATGTAGTGTGCACGAAAAGTGTTCTAATCTAACAGGCGTTCCTTGGAAGCCAGGGACTGGTGCGAGTTTTTTTACTGTTCATCGGATGGGAGTAACAAGAAACTTGCAAGCAGTAAGATACATATTCCGTTTTCTTTTTCATGTGACAAGAAATTCATCAAGGTTAATGTGAAAGTCACATTTTACTGCTCACTTCTATAAGTTATAAGCGTAAACACGTGTCTGATCTATCGATGCTTGTCTTCTGCTTCCGCGGTCATACGTTCGTGGTTTATTTACGAACTACAAAAGTCCACAACAATAGCGTTTTCCAGGAACTTACTCTACACTTTCTACTCCAGAAATCCCACCTGTGGAATTCCCCCATACCTTCGGATTTCAAATCGTAAATACCCCCCCATGCCTTCAGAATTCCATAATTGTGAATCCCCCCTCCCCTTCGGAAATCCTTAAAGCCGTCCGTGGTATGGTATGGATATTTTCTGGAATCGCCCAATCCAAAAAAAAAAAAAAACAATTACGAGCTCTACAGAATAAAATAATGACCCATTACTGGAACTAGAACTTTTATGGGAGGGGCTGTTGTGATTCCCGTGATCATAGAGATCAACCCAGTCTTCCTCGGCCTGTTTCAGACTCCAGACATTACACCGACATGCCAGACGGAACCAAATGCGTTGTGACTGATTTATTCAGCTTTGACCAGACTCATAAATTTAGCTGCAAAACAGTGTTTACACAAATTAATAACAAGTCGCATAAGCAAACTTTGAAGTGTCTTTGAAAAATGCGGCTTGGCTTGAAATATAGGGAGGGAAAAGTGTTTCAGCACACATGAGTGAAGAAAAAAAATTGAACCGTCACACCTGGGGATACCCAAATCACAGTGACAGTGGCAATCCCCATCCTCCACCAGGCAGCCAAAAGGGGACTGTAAATTAGCTTGAATTTCAGCTGTCTCCTAAAGTCGCAAACTCCTCTTGCAACTCATGGAAACATCTGAAATATTAGGCTAACTGTAAACGGTATAGAAACTCTTACGAATGTGAATATTAATGTCCACTAAAATCCAAAGATAGGAGCCCCTAAGCTCTTCTTAGTTTCGTAGAGCCTTGTCTGGAAGTACTTCATTTCAACTTTCAGAAAGTAATGAACTTTAAGTAAGCAAATGTTTGTTGTATATAGGAAGACTATGTTGGCTTGACATGAAGTACTTACCGACTTGGCTTGACATGAATACTTACCGACATTTAAGACCATCGCAGAGCTGTAAATCATTAATGGATAACTGTCAAATAGCTTCAAATAATTAAACTCATTGCATACATGATAAGAAGAGGTGGCTGTGTGACTGAAAGCTTGAAAACCCCCTTCCCTGTTTTGTTATTGCCACTTTGTGATCAGGCAAGACTGGGAACTAACATCTGTCTCGCATGGCTCACATGATGACTCGCATGACTCGCATGACTCGCTGGCTCGCAGTTTGTCAAGACCCCTTCCTTGCGTCCCATTTTTAATATTATTTTGATTTTAGAGGCAAGTCTTCACTTATTACTGTCATTTGCAAGGACCCTCACTCGCCCAACAAATTAATTGCGACAGAATATTGTTCTCTCATGCTCGGAGATGATACCAGTTTCTTTTTTCTTTCTTTAATCATTTTAGTTTTTATGTTATGTTATTTTTATTCATTTTGTTATTATAAATTTTTACAAAATTGAATTATTCTTCTTTTTATTCTTATTATTATTAATTTATTTATGAAATATTTTTTTCATGTTCCTGAATGTTCCGAATTTTGTCAACGCCTGACCAAAGAGACTAGGTCCATTTTTTACTTCATACCATCAAGATCGATGCCAAGAAATTAAATTCTTCGTTGGTAGTATTTTTAGCAGCTCTTACCTTCCCAGAAATTTGCCAGTTAAAGGGTTAAACAAGGAATATTACATTTGAAGCGCGGTTCTTGTGTTACAAAACAGTTCTGTTGAGACGCACTTGCTTCGAGAATATTGTACTTTTGCACAGCCCTTGTTTTGCTTTTAAGCTTCTGGGACGATGAGGTCGAGGAGTATTACATTTAAAGCTTGCTTGTTTTGGTTTATGGCGCATAGAACAAGGAATATTACTGTTGAAGCATTCTACTGGTCCTTGTTTGAATTTCTTTATGGCTTATCTAGCTTTGTATGACGAGGAATTTATGGTTAGCATCAGTACTTGTGATGCTTTTCTAGATATCTAACATGGGGGAATACTGGAACTTAGACAGCCTTTACGTTAGCACAAAGTTTTACATAGATTGAGTGTACTATTCCGTTCGGTTTGTCAAGTTATTTTACTCACAAACTATCCAGTGCTTTTATGATCACCTTTTATACTAAGTGCCAGTAAAAGTACAAGCACACTTGTATAAATTCAGGGCCCAGCATCTTACAGACTCGCTTACAGGATAGCCCAGCTTAAAAAGCAAACTGAGTCATAAGTTGCAGCTTTTACTATTTTTTTTATAATTCACTTAATATAATACACTGTGATAATTCAGCAGCTGTTTATTTTTATCAATAAAGGGAGTGCTGCTCATCCTCTTAGTATGCATGCACTTATACTCCTGTTTTGGCTTTCAGCAATTTACAATTTTAGGTTCACTGCTGTTTATGTTCATGGTCACTTCAACACCATTGTGATTTCAGTGTCCTGCTATATGAACCTACAGCTGTAGCAAAATGTGTAGCCTTCTATCATTATCTCCAGGAGATGCAACCATGTCAACCTCCTGACAGCACTCCACTGACTCAGCATATGACCTTACGCAGTTGCAATTTCCTTTTTTCCAGGCTCCAAGGACCCCCAACTGGCACAGCAACTTCAAGAAGAAATTTATCAGTACCTGCACTTTCACACCTTTGCTGAGGGCACTAAAGCATCGTATCACACCCACAGGACTAGTTATCTCTGGTTTTGTGAGCATATAGGTTACCCTCCCCTCCCAGCCCAATCTTCCCATTTTTGTCACTATGCTGCCTCTTTAGCTCTCAGTCTCAAAGCCACTTCTATTCCCAATTACCTAAATATTATTGGTATAATTTCTACATAAGGAATTTAACCTGCCTAATTCCCTCCTGGACAATTCGCCGTTACAGTCTCTCTGAACAGACTGTCTGGGATTAAGCGGGTCAAAGGTATGCCCCTTGCCCAAAAACAACCCATTACCCCCTAGAATTTTGGGTCATATTTACTTGCACCTCAACATGTGCTCTATTTTTGATGCCTCCTTCCGGGCCATGTGTTTGGTAATTATTGTGGTATGCTTTGCGAAAGCCATCTCCCTTTTAACTCTGCACGTTCCTTTGATGCCTCCCAGCAAGTCTTATGTTCAGATTTTACTTAGTTTAGTGGTTTAGTCACTATACGTTGGAGTAAAACTATTCAATTCCATGAGTGGGTGGTTCTTCTTCCCCTGCCATTTATACCAGACTCCCCCCTTTGCCCTGTTACGGCAGTTAAAAGGGCTATCCCTGGGGTGGTTCTTCTTCCCCTGCCATTTATACAAGACTCCCCCCTTTGCCCTTTTACGGCAGTTAAAAGGGCTATCCCTGGGGTGGTTCTTCTTCCCCTGCCATTTATATCAGGCTCCCCCCAGTTTGCCTTGTTACAGCAGTTAAAAGGGCTTAGTGCACTTTACCTGTCAGGCATTGCCTGACTCCCAGGCTTTCGCCTTTCTTCACTTTCTAGATTTCAATTATTATCCCATGTTTTTAAAAAAGGTTAAGTGACATTCTCTCTGCCATTCGGCCTTTGGTCAAAGATCATGCTTGCCACTCCTTCCGTAGGGGAGGGGCCTCCTTTGCCTTTTATTCCGGGGTTCCGGTCGAACTTATTAAAATGCTTGGGGACTGGCATTCGGATGCTGCGTTACTTTACCTTATGGTCCCTGTTGCCATTAGATTGCAATCTGTTAATACCATTGCTAAGTCTATCCTCACTACAAACATTCCTACTCCGCAACCTACTCAATTTGGGTTTGGAGTGTAACTAGTTTTATTACCTGTTTCGTTTTAATATTGTATCTATATTGCGTGATTACCTATTTCAGGGGCACCCAACGAGGATATAGTTCAAAACCACTTAACATAGCATTGTTGAACGTAGTTTAGTATTCAAACGGTAGATATAGGCATAATTTTATCCCCTAAAAACTTTTCATCTGTTCAGATTTCCTAGCTGAAAGTCTAGTGATCCGAAAATTATAGGGATAAAAACTTACCTTCTCGAAAACTTCAGCCAGGAAAAGGCTCCCGAAAATTCTAGGTGGCCTTTTTTAGGGTCAAAATCCGTTAAAAATGGGTAATTATACCATTTTGTAGATGTTCGAAAATCCTAGGAGAGACAGGCAAGCAAGAAATTTTACAACAGATGCTCCGAAAATTCTAGATCTCAAATCGTCTTCCGAACAGATATTTTCCCGAAAATTGCCGTTGGGTGCCCCTGCTATTTACATTTTGTGATAGAGAATGTCATAGTCCCAATCTTACCTGTGTCGTGGTTGGTATTTAGGGTTAGCTTCAGTACTTGTGATGCTGTTCTAAAAATCAAAAATGGGGGGTACTGGGACTAAGACAGCCGTTACTAAGTACCAGTAAAAGTACAAGCACGCTTGGTAGTTGTATAAATTGAGGGCCCAGCATCTTATAGACTAACTTGCAAGATAGTTCGGCTAGTAACAGTCATAAGTAGCAGCATTTACTAGTCTTCCCACCCTACCCTCCCTGGGTAGTTATCTGTTGCACTCATTCTGACAGTCTTTCTGTTTTACAAATTATGTATACCTTGGTTTTTTTTTGACCATCCAATCATTTTTATTTTGTTTGTTCCATTTGAGTGTAACTAGTTTCATTACCTGTTTCGTTTTACTATTGTATCTCTATTGAGTGATTACCTATTTACATTTTGTAATAAAGGCTGTCATAGTCCCAATCTTGCCTGGGTCGTAGATCGTGCGAACCGTAACACACTATGCCCTGATGTAATAATGAGATGCACGCTCCGTATGTGCTCAGAATACCGACTGTTAGCAATGCTGACGGTTTGTACGGAGCGTACGATCCGTCAACTGCTCTTAACGGTCCGTAACAGTGCGGCAGTATTGGACAGGAAAGTACTGCTCAGTAGCTTTCATTTGAATTGTCGCGCACTTTAAGGGTTTCATCCACAAACTAAGATATTTAAGCTGGCTTATCGTAAAGTTAAAAATGCATCATTTCAAGTGTCGTTTCAAAAAATTCTCTGTCCTAAAAAATCATCACTTTTGCTCAAATAACACAGCGAAACTTTTCCTGGAAAAGTCTTAAAGTTCGTACTAAAACTGATCCCATGCTTCGGGCTGAGTATATTTTAATCCTTCATGTACATCAGGGGCAAACTTATTCCCCTGAAAATAACATCTTTTTTGTATCACCGTGGATACATACCTTCTCAAAGAGAAGAGGGTTGGGAAATTAGAAGTAAAGAAACACGAGGGGTGGGGGGGGGTGGGTAGTGAGATATGAACTAAACATCGTTCTAGATGTTTATACATGAGCGTGCCGTATGTACATAACTCTACAATCGAATGTGTGCACTGTAGCCATTGAATTTGTTGTGCGATGAAATCTTCATTTGGACTGTACAACAAAAGTCATATTTATAATCTTAAGAAGGTTCTGTCATAAGCGCTTGACTGGCGTCGGTTAAACTGCATTTGGTCTTCAAACTGAAGTTTGGTTACTATAACTATTCAGTTGAAAGATATTTTGAATTTTGCTCAGATAAAAGATTAAGGTCATATTCTAGTAATAAGTTAAAGATCAACAAAGTCAGAACCGAATTATTCAAAGGCACTTTTTTCAATAGATTACCATATTTATGGAACAACCTGGCTGACAAACTCAGGACCTCTAATTTAAGCCTGTCATTATTTAAAAAACAATGTAATGAGTTCTATAAAAAGAAGAGCTTCGACCCTGACCACCCGCATGCCACTTGGATGTAGTGATCGATGTAGCAATTATTTTCTGATCAGATTAATCTAGGATATGACATATGATCAATTATAGTTTTTACATTTAAGATATAATTTTAATGTTTTCTTTTTTCTTTTTCTTTATTTAAGTGTCTGTTGTAGTTTTTGGGTGGACTAGCTCGAATGGTTCGTATGTTCCCTTCTAGTCCTTCCCCACTGCAATAATTTTTTTTTCCTAGTATGTAGTTAATTGTTCTCTTATGTAATTTAGCTAAGTTTTCTTTTTGCAGTGAAAATGGAATAAATTAAATAAATTAAATGAAATTAAAAATGTCTTAGGTAGCCTGCGAAAACATCCGTTTCTCCTCGCTCTTCGCCGCGAACGTCCCCAGCGGCGAAGAGCGAGGAGAAACGGATGTTTTCGCAGGCTATGTGTTAAGTTGTTGAACTGATTTACCAGTATTGTGGAGCTGTCAGTCAACCTATTGAAATCATTGCATTTTTCACCATGAATAATATTAACATATTCGTTCAAGCACCACGCCCATATCAAGGGGGTCTCAATGGGGTGGTGGCTTTTACGGTTATCGGCTAAAATTTGGGCTCTTTTACGGCTATCGGTTAATTTTTTCAGTTACGGTTAACAAAAAAGTTAAAAATTAACTTCTTTTGTTTCAAAAGGTTAAATATTAATTAACCTGTATTTTTTGTATCTTTAAGTCAAAATAAAGGTCTTCGGATCATCTCGGGATGAAACAAGCTATTCTTTTCAAAAATTTTAACGTTTTAGAGATCATACTTTTTATATAAAGTATTTCACTTCTAATATTATTTTACACATAGAAATGTCAATAGTCAATTTAAAAATAATCTTTGTGAAAAAACAAAAGCGGACACGCAAACGCCCAGCTCAAGGCCAGGGCGCGACACTCATTATAACAAAAATGGCCGTTTTCACACAAGAGACGGGTTATCCGTTTGATGATTCGCGTCAGATAGGTACTCTTAATTTGAAAATGGAATAGTTTTAATTTTGAATGAACAATCCGCCTGACTTTATTCGTCAATTTCGACGGACAGTTTGAAGACTCGATTATCCTTTCCAGATAGCCTGTGTACAGCCGCCCCCTCGCCTCAGAAAAAAATGGGAGAAGGGGTGTCTGTGGGGACGGCGCATCTGTACACAGGCTAGTCTCAGATGGATAATCCATTTCTAGTTCTAGCGTGAAAACGGCCGATAACAAAATTCCCGTGTCCAGTGTTTTTAATGATAGCGAAGGACTGTACGGAACGACTGTCTTCCGTTGCCTTGTCCGTAGGCCTCATTATTCCGCGCGGCTAATGCGTTTCGGGTCACGTGGTCCGAGCGAGTTCGCCAGACGCCGTACAGGGACTAGGCATGGCAATTTCCACCGTAGCGTCAGAGAAAAACAGGGAAATGTTGTTTATCGGCAACGTGTTTACAAACAGTGACATCTCTGCGCCTTGCTTTACTAGTGTTTCCAGGGCACGACCTCCTGAAAATCGCAAATATTAATCCCCAGCAAGAAGCCACACTTTCGCTATGGAAAAAGTTAGTTCCCCGAGAGTGGCAGAAATGGAGCTTTTGGTCAACACCTATAAGGCGCTTCACCTAACGTGCGTACGGAGTCACACTAGCCGGGAAATAAAAAACGCAACCATGAGCCGTGAGTTTAGTACCTCCCTAAGTAGCAAATCTAGGGAACAATTTCTTTTACGGTTAACTCTTTTTTACTCTATTTACGGCTAACAGTTAAAATTTTTAAATTTCTACGGCTATCGACTAAATTTTTGGCCGTTTTACGCCTATCGGTTAACCCCATTGAGACCCTCTATCAAGGATTATTAAATATTGTGTAATTTGTCTTATTTCACTTCGCTCTGTTTTCACAGCCATAAAATGCATCTCAGAGCCCTTTTGTGCCTTTCTGTATACAGACCGAAATGACAGA